TTTTCGCCCACGAAGCTTCAAAGACGCAAATAGAGCAAGCTTAATCTTGGCACAATTTCAATTTACAACTTAAACAAAATTTAAATGCGAGATTTGGTTACCAAGATATTTCCAAGATACTTTGGAACAAATTTAAAGCTGTAACGAAGCTTATTCAATTTTTTCACTAAAAAAAGATCGACTCTAAATATCCATTTAAAGGATGTGTTATTAATAAAATAACGGTTTCCACATATAATGTCTATATGCTGCCTAAAGAGAAACAACAATCTTCTTATATATTGTAAAGCCAAAATTAAAGTCAGAAATGTCAGAATTACATTTGGCAACATTTAGAATGGTGTAACGTGCATTCTACAAATTAATCTGGATAAGAAGTGTTGATATAATATCTGTAAGCTACTCTAACAAGTAAACTTGGCTCGATATTCGGCTGAAAAGACTCAACTGACTTGTTATTCATCGTGATACACGCATTATGATTCGTCGCGATACACGAAGACACGACTACGCATATGGAAGCTCGTCGCGCGGTTTAAAAATAGATCCCCAGCATCTTTCGCTTGATCCTTTCCTCCTATCTTGTTTTAATCCTTCGTGAATTTCACGCTATGAAGAGACTCGCTTCTCAATCTTCTTGTAAGTTGGAATATATTCGAAGCAATAAGTTAATCAAAATAATCAAAATAAATCTGTGCTTGAGAAGCGGAAGCGATTTAAAAATTAGATTATTCGTTATCTATATTGTGGTCGATAAAATAAGTTCAACAAGTGCAGCATTTACTGTCGTTTATCGTTGTTTATCGGCGGCTTATCACCGGCCTTTCTGGCGATCGTTATAATGTGCAATTTTTGTCAATGCCAACTTATCACTCGTCCTCCTTTTATTGTTCGAATTTTGCAATCGAAGAGTTTGCACGAGAAAAGAATAAAAAAATTGTATCCTCTTCATTAATTTATCGATATTGATCTTTAATGTTAAATTAAAATATCTCAAATAATTTCCATTATCAATACAGTAAACTTTTAATAGATGTATTTTATACTCATTTAAAATAGTATACCGTAAATGTTAATGCTAGCTGTCAACGTCTAAATGTGATCATATAAAAGACACGCGATTAATCAAATGTCCGCAACGTTTAAAAGTTTCAAGAATTTCTATCGATCGATGAAAACTAATTCACTTAACCTTCACTCATTTACAACAATTTGTCCGTGAGAACAACAGTGACGATCATCATTACGCGACTCTTGACGCTACTCCAAACTCTCCAGTTTCATCATTCTTAGAGCGAGAAATCGCGGAATCTTGCACGAAGCGGCAGCTTAATCGATCAACTTGAACAAGCGAAGATTGAGACGTAGATATATGTAGGTACTACATTGCTATGCATATCTAATACCTGTAGTTTTGGATAAATAACGGTACTGAATATTCTATTGAGATTCGCATACAGGCAGTGCAGTATATTGTATGTATACTTGAATAAATGATGGTCTAAACCTTTAAATATGTCGTGTCTCATTTCCCTGAAAGCTTTCCCGAATTCTATTTTCACCGATGTCTTATATTTTATTTACACAGAGAACACACTTGATTCTCTCTTCTATCTCAGGTTTCTTATATCTGTAAATCTATATATAGAAGAAAATCTCCAAGTATAACCCCTTCATTTTCCGCCAATTTCACAAATTCTAATTCTGATTTTGGCGATAATCCTACGTTTAAGCTTGGGATCAAACGAACCGTTCGGACGCGGATTTTGTAAGTAAGTTGGTTCGCGGTTGGTGATTAAAGAGCATGCGACCGCATGCTCGGCTAGAAAATTGATGTACTTGCTCAAAACTCTTGGCACGGCAATTGCGCTATCGTGCCAAGAATGCACGACCTCTGAGCCCCTCTGACCCTAACTCGGCTGCGATTAACTTTCGAAATTTTTCGAAATGTTTCGGTTTTATCATAATTATAATAATTTTCTTTCGAGACTCGTAATTTACCCTTTTTACAAATTTCTCGTTATGTAAAATAGATCTCAACAAAAAACTTATAATCCAGATAAAAAAGAGATATAAATAAATATATAGTTCTTTTTCTGTACGTTATTTTGATCAACAAAATCATTAAATTTAATAATTTACTTAATTTTTACTTTATTATAAATTAATTATTATTTTGTCTTATTGTAAGATTACTTATTAGGATTTAAATTTCATCATATTTAATAAGTTGATTAAGTATTTAACTGATACGAAATATTTCAAGAAGGTATGTCACTCTTATCAAATTTTGTTTGTTTAGCTTGAAATTATTACATGATGTCTACCAAAATTTATGCGTGTCACTTGACAATATAATAAATCGCGAGCAATTATATCAATAGAATTATATGACAGCCTCTTACTCACCCAATCATTAGTCATCCTTCCGATTAATAATATTAGTCACATTCGAAAGGAGATTGCAAGTAGAATTTGACCTACGGCACAAACGACAGGATCGATTCTGTCCGCGATAACATCGAGAAGCACGAGTTTATTTTTAAACGAGGGTCTCGCTAATGCGCTCAAGCAGAGGTGCGCTATCCAACATCTGGCGGAACAGAAAAATATTATCCTTGCCGGAGGCAACGAAGAAAAGACGAGAGAAAGAGCACGTTGAAATTATTATTCCGCGGAGCTCTCGAAATTGAAGCTCGTAAGAGTGAGGTGGAATCATTTGGTGTTGTTACAATTAATTTAGTCCGATTTAATGACTCTCGGATATAAATAAAATAAAAATGCCCAATTTTGTAAAAAAAAGTCACTCGTGACGGGAAGTGTCCAAAGGGCTGCGTAATCGCGCCAAGTCCGAGGTTTGCGCACCGCTGCGCCGGAGGAATCACCGTAGTCACTACGGAGCGTGCTCAATTTCCTGTTGACCTATTTATAACGCGCCTATCCACGCCGGAGAAGCCGCGGCATACTTCTCAAGGTCCCGGATCGGCTCGGCTGACTTGTGGTGTAGGTAGGTAGGTAGGTAGGCAGTCCAGCGCAGCCGTCACCTCGACGCGACGGGCGCATCTGCCGCAATCGCCGGCAAATGCGCAAAATTGCAGCCTGCACGGAATGAATATCGTGGAACTGGAGCAGCTTTCCGGCCACTTTTACCACTTGCACGCGGTGAAGTTAGATCGATAAAGAGAAGGAGGGACAGAAAGAGAGAGAGAGAGAGAGAGACGCGTGCATAAATCTCCTCGCGAGACGCAGAATGCGGCGTGTCGCGCGACTCGACAAGCGAATTTCGATCGATTTCCGCAAAATTGCTACACGACTCTATCTCGCATCAACATGCCCGTCTCGTCGATTCATCGTTACGATAATAGCGCGATGGATAAAGCGATATAATTTATTTACGTCCATTTCGTGCTTACGAGACTTCCGCTTGCTAATTCTAATTGCCACTCTCTATAGTTGCGCATCTGTTACTTCTACATTTATGTCGTACACCTCGTTCAAGATTTATTTCGAGAATGTAATTTTTTCATGTAATTTTCATAACTTTCATTTAAGATACATGTAACTGTCTTAAACTCGATAAAAATGTTTTTCAAACGTTTCTTATTCCCGCAACATCCTAAATAAACCAATTGAGAAATCTATTTATTAAAGCAAGTAATTTTTATAGAATCCTGATATCAATCAAGAAAAATGAAGTCAAGGCTGAGGCCCTACAAATAATTACGTGCTTCTGCTCGCTGCAAATAAACACAATGATTTACGTAAGCTACTGCGACAGTATTCTTAAGTCGCAACGTCGCTTCTGCGTCCGCAAACGTAAAACGTAAATGTCACTGTATGTACAGTGACCATGAAATTTTATAGAAAAGTGCGTTTTATAGCAAGTGGGCTGCACTTCGTCCAAATAGTCCGATCCGCTGAAAATATTTTCAGTTGTCAAGAGATCTCGTCGGTTTAACTTGGAACGGTTTAACGTAGAACCGCTATCTTGCCAATGAAAAATTCCCACCCAAGTGGTTTCCTACTTTTTGTGGCAGCAATTGGTGTAGAATTTCGTAACGCGAAGACAGGTAATAAGTGGATTGTTTTTGTTTTTGTAACTTCTATTTACCCTGAGGTTTTGCGCAAAATATTTACCAACACTTTATTTTCTCCTTTCGCTATTTATGCGGTAAAAGTTATATCTTTATCGTGTTAGCTTCGCGGAGTAATATATCGCTCAAATGACTCAGAATCACTGACTCGCGAATGAAAAATACCCTCCTCCGCAGCTTCCACAGTTTCGCGAGTAATCGATAGAGAATTTAATGGTTTAAGAAACCAAGGAAAAGGCGGATCTCTCTCCTCTGACAAGTTGTACAGAAAGCGGAGGGGATTTTAATGCGGCAAACGTTCCCGGAAAACCGCGCCGAGACAAAAAAAAAACCGTTTTCTGATCGCTTGTTACCGACGAGTAACCGCGTGATTACGAGTGGAATTAATTTTACGAAGGCTACGCGTTCGTGCCGGCGGGCAGGCGTATCTAATCTCTCCATCGAGATATTAATCTACAAAGATAGCGCATTCCATACAGCCCGAGAGATACGGGCGAGCGTCCGTTTCGAATTCGCGATTGTTGTTTACGAACAATGGCGCGATAATTAAGAGGGAGCACATTGCCATACGGGAGAAAAACTTTCTAACGAGCCTCCTCTATCGCGATCAAGTATCCCGAAATCTGATAGCGTCTTCGATTGGTGAACGGCATTGATTGATTTTCGTTCTACCATTGAATCAAGTAAAAATCGCTTATTATATTAATTATTTAATTTTAAACAACGTACTTATTATATTCGAGATATTATAATACGTTTTGTACGTGAGATTCATTCGCAGGAACATTTTGTCGATGGCGTATCCAAACTGCGTTTAATATATTTCTTTTGCAAATCGATCCCTAATTCCTCCACCTTCTGGAGACTACCTTATCATAATTCTTTCAATAAAATATATCGTCTTACCTTGTAAACCTCCGAGAAGAAGCCCGCGCCGATCTTCTCCATGTAGAAATCGTCCAGACGGTTCAGCGAGGCGACGGCGTGTCTGAGCGCCTGACAGGACGCCCCGGTGCGCCTCTTCGAACTCGAGTCCTGAAACGTCTCACCCGAGCACACCGTCAATCCGTGCACCGCACCACTTTCCGCCATCTCCGTAGGCCGCCAAAGAGAATCGCGACACTTCTCCTTGAGATCCTTGTAGTTTCTCGGCGAGGTGGACGACTGCAGTTCCGTGGGAAGATTCTGCGGCAGGCAGGACACGCAGCTCTGCTGCACCTCGTTGCTGACCCTCCTCAACGTCCAGTCTCTGGATAGCGTCGAAGTGGTGAAGTCGCTGTCGCAGGTGTTATCCTCGCAGGACGCGACGGCGGTCGCGGAATCGCCGGCGCCGTCTTTGACGTCGATCATCTTCGGAACCGCCGGCTTCTGATGCGCGTGCAACGACTGCTCGCTCACGACCGGCACATTGGACATCGCGCCATTCGACATCGCGAAGTAATTCGCGCACGTGTCCGTCAGAAGGTCCTCGTTACTGGACCTTTTCCCGCCCGGCAGCGACGTGTGGTGAATCGTTTCGGAAGATCTCGCGGAAGACAATTTGGCAGCGACCGTAGCCGCGGGGGCGTATCCCTGCAAGCACTTGGACTGCTGCTCGTTACACGTCTGATACGGCTCCTTGCCGCTCGGAGGCTCTCGATTAACGGCAACAATCTTCTTCGCGGTTTTCGCATAATCTCTCGTACACGACTCGACGTTAAAATTTCTCCCGGTCGACGTAGACTGCGGTCGTCGCGATCTACCGACGCCGGTCTTGGAATAATTCGAGCAGTTCTGACCGGGACACTTCTGCATCGCGTTGGCGTGACTCCTGCCAACTTGCGACGAGCCTTCCTTGGGTGAACACTTGGCCGGGGTCTTGGTACAAGCGGATGCGCAGGTCGTCGTCGTTTCGTCAGTCCTGCAGGGCCTAGGCGGCTCGATCGCGACGAAAGTGGCGTCCGTCAAACTGGCGGGCGGCTGCAGGGAGTTGCTGGGAGCCTCGGAGACCACGGTGGGCGAATCGTCGGAATCGTTGTCCTTCATCGGTCGCCAAGGTCTCACCTTGTCGTCGGCGCTCACTGTCGGCGTCTCCTCCACCGAGAAGCACGGCAGACAGGATGCCGTGCCCGTCGTCGCCGGCCTGATGCACGACGACTTGGCTGACGCCTGGCCGCCGTTATTATTAGGCGGACCCGGCGTGTTCGACGGCGGCGGCACTTTCCCGAACATCTTCGCCGTTATTGCGACGAGGCGGTCGCGCAAGCTGACGACGCGAGACGACGACGGTAGCAGCGGCCCTGCGTGCGCCGCATCACAAGCGGCCGGCTCGATGACGCGCCTCTCGACAGTCGTCACGGCGTCGTTCTGCCGTATCCCCGCGACAAGCGAAGTCTTTGTAAGCTGCTTCAACTACGAATGAACGCGGTAACGATCCCACGAAGCTTTCGAATGCGTTCAGGCGATGACAGCGATAACAAGGCACCTTCGTTTTTTTTTTGCAATGTGCAGCTTTGCCTTCGAATGCGATTCGGATTAACGTGAATGTCAACGAATCGCGTTCGCGACTTGGTCAAGGAACATTCTCGGAGCACTCGATATCGTAGTTGTCTCCTTTCTTTCTTCGTATTTCGTGCTTCAAGAGAAATTCAAGGAAGTCGAGGATTCTTCTGCTTCGCCGGTCAAGGGTATTGGAATTCGTAGGAAGACATAGGTATCTCGGAGCAAGACAACGGCAAAAATCGTGTCATATATGTTTCTGGTACAGACGTGGAAGACATTCGTCTTCGACGAACAGATGGGAAGGCAAAGGAAGCGGAGACGAAGACGCAGGTTCGCGATCGACGCTGGTTTGTTTCCTTTTTGGCAGTGGCGTCACGCGTCGAAAATCACAGTCGGTAGGTCATAGACGGAACGTTATCCCCGTAGGGCGGCTCAGGATAACGTCACAGATTCGAAACGAAGCGTAGGAAGAGCGCGGTACCACCGGAACTTGGCACGGTTCTCCCCTCGTCGCCAGCGGACGACTCCTCGTGGGCTGACTCAGATCTTTCTGAAATAAAGTTGCACCCGACAGGTGATCGACGAGTGTCAAAAATTGCGACGAACGTTGATGTAACGGGAAGGACGTACATACGCAGCGTTTGGGAACACACATTCCTGAATGTCTAGAAAATGTTCTTTGCGACGTTACAAGGGTATCTCGTAGACGTCTTCAACTTTTAAGACGCAATTAAGACTTTAGAGTTTAGAGACCATCGGTACTTTTAAGAGTTTTTAAAGCTTTTTATTTTCAAGACTACTTCTTCAAAAGACCACTCTTTAACATTTTTTAGATGCTTAATATGAAATCTTTTCTTTTCTGACTTGTCAGAAAGTCACGTAAGCAAAACAAAACTTTGAATCCTTTTAAATTACTATGCAGAAAAGTTAATTTAATTTAAATAATGGTTTCATAATTATATACGATCGTTTCTCATATGTAATAATAATTTATAACTTTTTGTATTTTTTATTTCGGCATACATAAAAAATAAATTAGTAAAATTAGATCTGTATGATACAAAAAATGATACAAATAGTTAACTTAAGTCGCTTAAGTCAACGATTGCAATGACAATTTTAACATATGTAATTAAATAAGGACCAAACATCGTCGACCAGGTACGTAAAAAATGTAAAAGTTTTTTACTTCTATGATTAATAACATTAGAGAAACAGTGCAAAGTAAGGGCCATCTATTAGCGCATAATAGCTCTTTGAAAATCGTGTAATACATTCAGAATATTTCATTTAATCACAGTTTTATTTAATGACAAAAAGATTACACTGAGGCAAGATGCCTCAGACCGTGTCTGATCTCCGAAGTGGTAACGGGTTTCCGCAATTTGGAGGCATCGTGACGCAGCACGCGCGCGCGTCTCTAAAAGCTATAAATCACGAATAACTAAAATCGATTTTCCCCTCGTCTAGCAAATAATCACATTTTCACACGTAACGAACATCGCGTAAATTGCCGTCGTAAATTGACATATTTTCTCCGTATTTTTACGGATATATCTCAGACTTGTCGGAGAAATCGCAAGGAACGGGAGAAGCGGGCTATAAGCTGGTTATAATAAACTGTTTTTCATTTATTAAGCAAATTACAGCGCGCATTTTGGAGCGATAACGAGCAGAATATGTCAACTTCTCGTGCGTCAGAAGAGATAAATGTTTTTGTGCCAAAGACGTTTTCAAGAAAAAAAAATTGGATTCATGAATTCAAATATTATTGAATCGCACGCAAGAGGCTTGGAGATTTCTAATATCGTTGGAAATCTTGGGATTGTAAAAGCAGACCGAATAAAGTGAACAAAATTTCGAAATATATCTGCTGAAATCTCCTTATGTAAATCTCAGCGATCATAAGAACGTAGAAATTGTTTTCTTTTTGCGCCCACGCGGTAACACCGCAATTGGTTTTTACACATTCGCGTTAGTGATACTCAAGGACGATTTTTCGCACCGGATTAATCGTACTTTAAGAAACCATTATTTAAAAATTACTCGTAGTTTTCTAACGATTTAAATAAAAAAAAAAAAGCAATTTTAAAAGCATAATTAAACTTTTAAAGGAGAATTCGATAACGTATTTGATAAATAAATTTGAATATTTTTTTTTCGAAAACTGATATAGTTCCTCCTCTATTGAAGTCAAACTAAACACTGCAGTTTTCGATTTTTCGAAAATGTATTGATCGGTAATCATAAAATATATTACAATCGAGGTTTATTTAAAGTTATCTGGAGAACAAATTTTCTCATTTCCGTTTCTAGAATACGATTTGCCGCGAATACTCCGCATGTTATATTATACATTGTGCGACTGCAACACACAAATCAGGAAATTTTCCTTTTACCCGACGGCCGAAGTCAATTTCGCACAATGCACTAGCCTGATAGTCAAGTGTTCGATAAGGCCGAATGCGCCACACTTACGTGTGACGCGTTTTTACCGCATTGTCACATTGCACGATTACGACACAGTATACATATATGTACGCGAAGTATATCGCCATCCACGTGATGCGTTCGTATCGACTCGCGGCCAATACTCGGCTGAGCAAACGTATACAGGTGTAATCGTTTTAGGACGCGACAAAGGCGGCGCAATTTGCGAACGACGTCGCTGTAAAAGCAGTTCTTCACGATTTGCGAACATTAAGTAGCTTTAATGAGCGACGAAAATAGCGGTTTCGTGGATATTTGCAACGCGTTTTAATTAACCAGAAAATTACAAACTCTCGTTTAAAAAAACCGCTCGTAGACGCAAATCGTTAATTTTAATTATTATTGAAAAAATTATTGTTGATCATCCTTGTCGCTTACTTCTTTTTTACCTTCGTCGTTACCTCATACGCCGTTGTTATTACGTAGCTTTAATTTCACGCTTGACATTGTACGACGTCGATGTAAATAACTGTGCGACATCGGTATTAATATCGACATTAATTTTGTAACATCTTGTGCTGTATAATAAATCTCGAAACGTGCAACGACCCGCGCGATTATTAATTCAGAATATTATATCGTATCAGCAAAAAATCTTTGCGGCCAGTTTACACCGCACAACACTTTCTGTATTAGTCTAAAACGATTCGTGAAATCTATGAAAATAAATGGGTTTTTATTACAGCTTCCGCGATATGATACATTCATAGTGACTGTGATACCGTAACAAATGTAACATATATGTAAGGAAAATTATGTCACTGTTGCAGCCGACATTTTAATTAATTTCTAGACATAATTAAATTGTCATTATACACCGGGAGAAGAATGTCAATCTTTTCTCGACGAAAACGCTCAGTCATTCCCGTACAATTAACGACGGAAGACAATCACGCTCTTATCACGAGGTATAAAGCTTCGGGAATGTTAAACGAGATAACAAAAATCATAATTCTCTCCAATTAACTTGAAATGGACTCTGAAATATCATTTCAACCCGAGGCCTAGATAGGAAGATGCACTAACGAGTGATGTAGAAAGTTGGAAAGTTACGACGGATGAAGGAAATCAGCGGAAACGTCCAGAGATACGTCAATAACGTTTCCACGGGGAAGATTAGGACCAGGAATAAGCTCCCGTTTTCGATACGTCAAAACACGCCTAGAGGGGAAAATAGATTAAGGCGTCGCTGTCGCGCGCAGACTAACGTCCATTTCTACCAATGCTGATCAACTCTAATCTCGATTTAACTTACCTTTCATTTTTCTAGTTCTAAGAAAAAAAATAAAAGATAATTAAAAAGATAAAAAAAAAAAGATAAAAGGTAAGATCCTGCGCATTAATAAATATTAAATATCAGGCGAGTCGGAATTAGAAATAATAATTAAACGTAACACACAATGAAAAAGGACAAAATATAGGAATATCCCTACATTAACATATCCTGATATTTAATATTTGTTCTTATTCCTAATATATGTGCTCTATTGTGCGCAGGGTCTCAAACCAAGTTTAAAGTCAATCTACATTGGTAGAAATGAACATAAGGCGAATAAATCCTTTGTAGCCAGATTTTTTTTGCTTTTGAAAAAAAGAGATAATTACGCAATCGTGAAATGGGACAAACCCTGATCAGATCGTGGAAAAACATGTGAAAATATAAACCGGTATGTGCATGGAAAAAAAAAGAAAACGTTAAATCAAAACTTATATGCTCAAATTAACGCGTCATTGTTGGGGTATACGCAACAATCTATAATCTTACAAAAATTTCAACTTTCTTTCTGTTATTCTTGAACTGAAAACGACTTCATCAAGCAAGTTTTCTTCGTTTAATCTCATTTCAAGATTTCCGTCGAAACTAAAGATATTTTCAAATCAAGAATCTTTTTTTTTCTATGCGGCTTTCAAATCGCATGACGTTAATAACAGTTTTAGAGGGATCGGCGGGTACTTACGGTGCATCGGGTTTTGGCAGACGTCGTCGTCGTCGCTCGAGGGGACTGCCCGACGAGAGTCTCCCCCGCGCGCGCGCCCGGTATCTCTCTCTTCGATATTCCGGGATGGAAAGTCTCTCGGCGACGCTGACAGCTCTCGCGGCCGTCGTCTCGCGTCGCACGCGCGTACACACGCACTCGCGACGCCCGCGAGGACGCTTTTAGACGGCCTTGAACCACGTGAGGAAGAATTCGGGGGCCCGCCTGGCTGCGCGGCCCTACCGGACGACGCTCCTTCCCCTCGCAGACTCACGATTCTCTCGCCTTCCTTCGGACTGCCGGACGAGTCGAAACGTTTTCCTCTCACTCGCGCACGCTGTCACTCGACGTGTTTACCATCACTCGACGGCGAGAGGCGAGCGAAAGAGCGAAGGAGAGAGGAAGAAGGAGAGCCCGCCCGACGCGCCGTTGCGTTCATCGACGCGTCTCGCGAACGGACGGACGATCAGGTAGTAGACGCGGGACGGGGGATGGAGGAGGCGAAGGGGAGGAGGGCCGGAAGCGCGCCGTCGCGGATTTTCGGACGGGTCGCTGACACTCTCGACACGGGTCACGCGCCCCGGGTAAACAGACGGAGGAAGAGAGAGAGAAAGAGACGTGAGGCGGGGGAGGGTGGAGGGGAAAAGCACAACACACCGAGGGTGTATACTCGAGGTATGCGGTGTCGCTCGTTTTTAAATCGCCGCCGGTGCGGGGAGGAAAGAGTCACGCGCGAAATCGCGCCGCGCCGAAACGTGTGAGCCTCTCACCGCCGCGATCCGCTCTCTCGCAATACGCGCGCGAGATCTCGTGGGCTCGCGACCCACCGACGGACGCAGCTTCCCGACGCAACGCACAGCTACTCGCGACGGGCATCCGCACACTCACTGACAACGCCAGAGACGGCAGCCATTACAGGAATGAGTCGTCTCGCTCGCGGCGGATGCGCGAACGCCACCGCTCGGCGAGAGCCCGAGTCCGAGCCGTTTCCCCCTCCTTCTGCCCGCCGTCGGCTCGACCCCCACCACTCGGATTCCGCGATCGATCCGTCGCGTCGATCGGAAGCGCGCCGTTTTCAAATTTTGAATATTCTCAGAAGGGGCGCGTGAAAATAGATTTGTACGCGTGGCTTGAAATTTCTAAGGCCGGTATTGATAGTCGGTTCTTATATTTAAGACCGTCTTAAGTACAATCTTAAGATGTCATTAACCAATCACAAAGCCGTATTAGCATTTTAAGATATTACTTAAGACGGTCTTAAAATAAAAAACGACTATGAATACCGACCTAAAAATTTCTGCACGTAAAACGAGATAAATATATATTGGGCGTTGAAGAAAGAAAAAGCGAAGATTCTAAATGCAAAAAGTACGAGCAACACGAATGGACAATATATGGACATAAAGGCCTGTTCTTTTTTAGCTGAACCTTTTGCCACGGTACAGCTTTCCTCTTTTTCTTTTCACGTTAGAGAGAAAAAGAGAAAAGATGAACCGCGCAAAAGGTTCAGCTAAAAAAAACGGGCCTGTTGTGTTTCGCGCCTTTCGCTCGTGCCGCGTTAAAATATAAAACATTAAAATGCATTTTAAGGGGAAAAAATAAGAAGTTTATTTGACAAAATCGGATCTTTGGCTTCCAACGCCTGTATATATACATTTCCCTTTCGTGAATTTTACCGCCGACGTCGTGGTCTTTAATTCGTAGATCGTATTCCATTTCCATTGTATTTCGTCATTTCTATCGAAGCAAATTCAAATCGACGCATTCAAATCGCCTACTTTTCGTGAAGAAGCGCAACCGATGAACTTCACCGATCGTCGCTTACCTAATTGTTCGCTTCACGGAACAACACACACACGGCGTGGGAATCGGGATAGGAGAAACTGTATCACTCTCTCGCGATCGCGAGTATATTCCGGGATGCGCGTTAAAACTAATTTATGAGAATTTCTATTCCGCCTCACGTGGCAGCCATCAGAAATGGCCTTGTCTTTATCGCGTCGAACTTGTAAAACAAGATGAAAGTGTGAGAATTGCGCGTGTCCTCGTATGCGTATGCCTTTCACTGTCCGTCTTCCGACCAAACTGCGATTAACTTATTATTTATAAATATTATAATATTTATTTTTATTTTAATAATACATAGTACTTTATTAATATAGATAAAATTATTATAATTATTGTAGTTAAAAAAAAATTATTGGAAATGCATGGAAAAAATACATATTGCAATAAATTACATAGGTGAAAAAAATTTTGCTGTAAACGGTTCTGCCGAATGATTTAATTAAATCATTGCGTTAAAATGTATGGATAATAATATTAATTTTTTATAGTTTAAAGTATCTATTAAAAAAATTAGATTAAAGAAAATATATTATATATGAATTAAACACCAAAATTAAACTAAGTTCCAATTAATGTAATCGATGATTAACTTGCCGAGAGGAGCATCTACAATATATATTTTATTAGCATGAACAAAATTAACAACGTTTTTGATGAAATTTTACTAATATAAATAGTCGACGATTAAATTAGTCGACGTTTAATTCCAAATCACCATGAAAAGATAATTCGATGCTTTTTTTACTTAAAAAATGATTTTTTTTTAATTACTGAAATCCAAAACTGGAAATCTCATTAATTCGTTGGAATTTCATATTTTTGTTATTTTGTTCCATGTAAGAAGCTAGTAATTTATTCTAGTAATTTATCGCGATGAAATACCTGCGACCTGCGATTGAATAGCTTCCCTCATTCCCAATATGGGCGCATTCAGCGGACCAAACCGCTCAGTAGCAGTCGAACGTGATTGGCTCTTACTTTTAGAACCAACCAATCAACGCAGAGTGTTGATAAGACGAACTCAACAGTTGTGTCTGCTAAACGCGGCCCGGAAGCCTTCTCGGCACTCTCGGCAGCGTTCACTCGGTCGACTCGTTGGATTCCACGTGGTTTGGTTGCTCGAACGTGTGCTATAATCGTGAAAGTATTGCGATTATATTAGTGAAATTGTAATATCAGCAAGCATGAAGCTTCGCAGTAAGTGTATTAACCGTATCATCGAAAGTTTGGAATCTTGCGTACTTTATAGGAAACTGAAACAAGTTATATTGTATTTGTTAGGTTATGTGCTTTAAAGTTGTTTAATTCATTCAATACTGCCCATCTTTTTACAGTCAATAGCAATTAATAAAATATTATAATATGCATTTGACGTTTGTTACATTAATATAACCTAAAGATAATTTTCTTACTTTAATATCATTGCGAATAGATAAGCAGAGCAAGCGCATGCCGGCCCGGAAGAGGTACAAGATCGAGAAGAAGGTCCGCGAGCACAATCGAAAAATGAGGAAGGAGGCCAAAAAGCATTCTAAAAGTCAGTCCTCTAATTTGTCAATATACATAGATTTATGTTTATAACGTTCAATTTTATAAGTGTAATTTTATTTTTATTCAGAAAAAGCCAAGATGACGGAAATACCGAATCAGTGTCCGTTCAAAGAAGATATACTAAAGGAGATAGAGGTAATGAGAAAGCAACAAGAGGAAGAGAAACAGAAGCAGAGGGAAGCGGCGCGTGAGAGAAAACGTGAGGAAATCGCCAAGGGTGGTCTCCAAGGATTGGTTAACCAGGCCGAGAAGAAGCAGTTAACACACAGGCCCATGGAAGTAGATTCTGATCAAGTAAAAAGTGCCGTTGCTAAGGAAGAAAATTCGCTCAAGGCTTATTACAAGGAATTCAAAAAGGTTTTGGACGCAGCCGATGTCATTCTTGAGGTTGTGGATGCTCGTGATCCACTGGGAACACGATGCAAAGAGGTAAGTTTCATAAAGCTTTTATTTCAAATATAAATATACTAAATATATTAATTATTTATAATATCTGTTATAAATACTTACTAATTCTGGATATAGGTGGAAGAAGCAGTCCGATCTGCAAAGGGAAACAAGAGACTAGTGTTAGTTCTGAACAAGGCTGATTTGATTCCCAGAGACAACTTAGATCAATGGTTGAAATATTTGAGGGTCAGCTTGCCTGCTGTGGCATTTAAGTCATCCACTCAAAATCAAGCAAATCGATTAGGTAGAAGAAAGTTAGGAAAGAAAACGGAATCCATGATACAGAGCAACACCTGTTTCGGGGCAGAATTGCTCCTGTCGTTACTTGGGAATTATTGCAGAAACAGTGATAATGTGAAAACAAGTATCAGAGTGGGTGTTGTTGGTTTGCCAAACGTAGGGAAATCTAGCGTTATTAATTCTTTGAAACGCAACAAAGCGTGTAACGTGGGAAATATACCAGGTACTTAATTATTTGCTACCAGCTCTTGTATCGATCAGCTGCGCTTTTTAAGCCATTTATTTTAATAATTACATTTTTGAATTTGTTAATTTTTTTCTCTAATTTTTTCTATAATTATTTTATAATAATTTGTAACTAATGAAATATTTGTATTATAATTAAGCCTTGTTATTAATTTATATATACATATATATACATATATATATATATATATATATATATATATACACACTTATTAATTTAATTTATGATTTTCTTAATTTCAGGAATAACGAAAACGATGCAAATTGTTCAGTTAGATTCTAAAATAAAATTATTAGATTCTCCTGGTATAGTATTCGCTAATTCGGATGAAAATTCCGATGATACATCTGTAGCTCTCAAAAATGCAGTAAGAATTCAAGCGTTGAAAGATCCTTTTGCGCCAGCAACTGCAATTTTAAAAAGAGTTTCGCGACAACAGATAATGGAATTATACAATGTGCAAGATTTTTCTACGCCGGATGAATTTTTCGCAATGAAAGCAGCACGAATGGGAAAATATAGGAAAGGTGGGGTGCCTGATGCGACTGCTGCTGCGCGTGGCATTATTGAGGATTGGAACTCCGGAAAAATCAGGTTTGTTTTGTTACATTTATTCCGGATTCTTGCACAGTGGTAAATTCTACTTTTTAACACTTAATATTTTTCTTAGATATTATACAGTACCGCCGGAACAATCGGTATGTCACATATCCGCCGAGATAGTCAGTCAAATGGCTAAAGAATTCGACATCGAAAGTTTCGCTGCGGAAGAAAGAATGATGCTCGATAATTTCGCAACGGATTCTGCGAATAATCCCACTACAGATCCTGTGCTGATCAATAGTACAGGGCCTGTCACGGCGGCAATGGAGATCGAAATGCAAAAGGAAACGGTGAGATCCAAATACAATATGTTGGAAATTTATCGGAAACTGTGCGCGCAATGGATATTGTTTCGTACAATATTTGATTGTTATTGCAGGAATACAAAGTGCAGAAGAAATTAAAAAAGAAGTTGCAAGACACAAAGAAAGATATGTCTGGTGAGAGAAAGAAGAAACCAGATCCACTTTTCGAGATAGAAGGCAATCAAAAATTGAACAAGCTTAAAAAACTTCAATTCAAGAAGGAAAAGAAAGCACGAGTAAGAAGAGGTATGAGGAAAAATAAGAAAAAAGATTCAGTGTTTCATATAATATTAAATTGTTTCAAAACGTTTTTTCTAATTTCCAGAAAAAGCTGCTACTAAGCTGGCGGGACAGCTTGAAGGATTTAAATTGACTTCCAATGATTATGACTTCAATACAGATTTTACAAATGCGTAGATTATTTTCAAATGTATTTCGTGTACATCATGAACGTGTATACGTGTATGTATACAGTATACATGTATGATGTTTATATCACATATATATTATATAATAATACGCGTATATGTATAAATATATTATGTGAATTGTAAATAAAATAAAGATTACTTTGGTACATGAAGTATATTTGCTATTTTTCCATATATATCATCCTAATTTACAAAAAGCCGCAATCCGCGAATTATTAAAAATATATATATATATAAGCGAAAAGTACATGCGAGAAATTCTCCTGTGACTTAACATTTATAAATATATAAATGATTTTTGTTAACGAAGTTGAAAATTATATTTTTCTATCCGCGATTTTAATACCGTAGCAAGATAGCTGATGTCTTTATAAATATTTATCATTAAATCAAATATTTATCATCAAATCAAATCAATATGTCAAGCCAAGTATACTTTTTGTAAGCTACTTTTGGTATATCCTTTCATAAGCTAGATACCATCCCGGCCCGGTCAGCTTTTAGAATTAATACCACATACATTTAGCGCTGCTAAGAGTGCTAAGTATTAAATTTATAATGTTGTGACAAAATTAATAGCAATATACGTATGTACACATATACTGAACATTATTAAATATATATTATATTAATATAAATACCGATAATATTATCTGCAGAAAAGAAATGGAAAAGAAGCATGCACATACAATAAAACTGCGATAACAAATAATAATCTAACAATATTCGCTAGATACCTAAAAGCTTGTTATTCTATTATTTTGTGCTATATCCTTTTTCTTTTATTTTTCAATTGTTTATTTCACAGTTTATTTTGTTTTCTTCCTTCCTTCCAAACAACGATAATTTTTTATTAATTACAGCAATTGCACTATCTATATAGAAAGAAGATCTAAGTAGGTACACATTTACAAAATTTTGCAGATAAGGCAAAAATAAGAAATAAATACAAATAAAATAGTTAAAGAAGACAAAAAGTAAAATATTTTAATATCTATGTATTAAAATCACAGTTTTGAAATTAGTATTATGAAAGTTTTATTATGTCCAAATCTCAGGATTTCTTTTTTTATGAAACAAAGAGGTAGTAATACCATAAAAACACCTTTTTTAATAAAAGGTAAAAAAGGGCGCCAATTAAGTGTTCGCGCCCTATTGTGCGTAGCTATTGTGCGTAACAATGTTGTTTTAATATATTTTTGCCATAAAAGTAGTGACATCATGTGAAGTGAGCATGAATTTATACATATAAAATACAATTCTTTCTCACATAAATAATTTCATTCTTCTAACGTACTTATAGTAGAATAATAAAATATTTAATGTAAAAGAAATTGTTAATGAGCATGAAAAATTATGTTTACCATGACATTTAATTCTTCTATTATTATGCTTACTTATTTAAAATAACAGAATATTTTGTCCAAAAAAACTTATCGTTGGTAAACAAGTATCTATGTATAGAGATACAAATCTGAATTCTACTTTGTATGTACATACATATATCTATCTATTTACATTTCAAATTAAACTCGATCTTTATTCACACAAACTTCACGCATGCACATGAAACATTTGCATGGTTATTTGTTTAGCCAATGCCAAGTTTTTTTGAACAAAAAATATTCTGCTATTTTAATAGGCATAATAATAAAAGAATTAAATGTCATGGTAAACATAACTTTTCATGCTCATTAACAATTTCTTTTACATTAAATATTTTATTATTCTACTAATTGTAAGTACGATAGAAGAATTAAATTATTTATGTGAGAAAAAATTACATTTTATAATATGTATAAATTCATGCTCACTTGGCATGATGTCTGATATCACTACTTTTATGGCAAGAATATATTAAAACAACATTGTTTCGTGCAATAGCTACGCACAATAGGGCGCGAACACCTGGCGAACCTTTACTTACCTTTTTTTAAAAAGGTGTTTTTATGGTATATATGACGCATTTTCCAGCGTCTAAGCGTCTTATATGTAATGTGTTAATTTTGTATGATGTAATGCAAGACATATAACTATAAACAACTAACAATATACAAATATTATTTATATGTTTTATTTAATATGAAGCACATATAATTGGATTGATAAGGTTGTTTTGAACTATATACTGGGACGTGTTAAAAAAGGTTTATTAAAATATTTGGAATGAGCGGTGTGGATTGAGAGAATAGATGGGTGAGAATGTATTTAGGTGGCTAAGGTATGAAGAACTTATGTTACGTTTTGAGTTGTATTGTAACGTTTTTGGAGTAAGGGTGGGGTGGGGGAGTGGGGGTGCCGTGGTGATGTGTATGAGTGGGTAAGGATATGTTAGGCTATGTTGAAACGTTTCGGGTTATATTGTAGTGTTTTTGGGGTGAGGGTGGAGTGGTAATGTGTTTGGGTTTGCAAAAGTGTGTTGAGCTATGTTGGGACGTTACGAGGTGTATTAAGGTGTTTTGGAGGTGAGAGAGTGAGGTGGGGGGATGGGTGGTGATGTGTTTGGATAAGTGAGGGTGTGTTAGATTACATATTAGAGACGTGTCGGGGTATATTCAGGTGTCTGAGGTGGGTGAGGGAGAGTGGGGGGTAGTCAGATGAATGGTGTGGGTGGAGGTCAATAAAAATGTGAAGGATGCTTGGGAGTGTGTGAAGGTGTATGCGAGTATTGAAATGCCGATTTTCGAATCGGACAAGTGGACAAAAACATTTTCCATTATTGCGATAGCACTACATGTTACATCCATTATTCAGTAGCGTTCAGTCAGCACAATATGTTATAGTTGATTAACAGACGGTGGTCTGGTAAACATCGAGCAAAGGTCAGCGCATAATGTTGAAAAAGTCTACGTTTCCAGGACGTTTGAACAAAGTATATATAATTTGACACGGCTGTACACGAAGAAAGTGAGCATCGGAACCCATCGGAGCAGATTTACAGAAGGTGATAGAGAAAATGTCGCGCATCAAATCGTCGGGTCAGCCACCCAAAGTTTGGAAAGTGATCGAGAAGACGGGTAGGGATGGGAAACCGATGAAATTTACGATTCAGGAAATTCCTGAG